TTGCATATTTTTGAATAAACGCCTTCGCATTTTAATATATAGGAAGACCACTTCTTCGCAACTGGCTGTTTTTCCTACAGGGTAATCAGACAGTATCATCCCAGTAGAAATCGGTTGTATGCATTCTAGAAGGATGCTTGCTATATGAGTGAATTAGACTGCTTTTACACAGTTCAAGTATTGAATTCAATTCTGCTCGCATGTGGAAGAGAGGGGGTGAGAAGAAAAGGGACGAGTACACATGCGTCTGTACCGTCAAGTCGTTTCAACTTTCGTGATTTGCTTTTGGCATTTTCGTTGCTTCCCGTTTAAAGAACAAAAAACTTGTATTCAACAGAATTGAAACGTGTAAAAGCAAATAGAAAACACAAAAGAGAATAAGCAAGAATTGCTTTCAAGTAGTTGAATCATGTAAATCGGGTGTTAGTGTGAACAATTCGTGCGTAGTCATGAATTTCCACGAATAAATTCAAATTCTAGCGAATTGCAAGCGAATGTACGTTGTCTTTGTTCTAAGTACATTTTGTGATAAATTTGAAGTGGAATTTTTGTAATATTTTCAGTCTTGTACAAAAATTTTAGTGAACGGGCGTGTTGTGCGATACTATTTTCAGCACAAACGGGCTTTTACAAGATATGCATTTGCATATGTAAGTGCTACTCGCTTGTATGTCCCCGTGTATTAAAATGTATCAGAAAAGTAGCATTTACATATGGGGATCTTGTAAGATTGCTTTAATACTGTTCCATTAATGCATTTTTGTATGTTTGAAACATTAATTCAGTCATATGCATACAGCAGTAGTACAAGCGTATGATTAAGGTACGCATACGCTCTGAGAAACCACGCGTGTTAAATGGAAATGAAGGTTGATTTATACTGACATGTATACACAGCAGCAAGCTCATGCCACCAACAGCGATGTTGTATGCTTAAGGTTTCTACTGGGATAGTCACGTTGTTATCTCATTTTAGATACATACATACTATGTATGTGCACTGTAGTACATATGATTTGACAATGTATGTACGCCAACATATTTTGTGTACTATCTTAAAAGTTTTTTTTTTTAAATATTATTTACAGTTGAAGTTCGAGTCGTTATTACGCCGCGTTGGCGTGTAGATCAGAAGTTCTAACATTCCACGAAATTTCGCGACGTGTGCATTTATACCAAGATGCGTCGAAGAAATATGAAATGGGTTTTGAAAGCTGCAATTCTGTTGACCTTGTCGCTTATTCTGTTTCTTTTGCTTACAAGCTGGATATCTTCCAGCCCTTATCGCAATAAGTTACCAATTTTGACGCCAATGCATGCAGCGAATTTACGAGCGCATAAAAAAATGTCGGATAATCATGTGGACGGGGTTGTAGAGAGCAATGCTGAAGCTCCAATGCTGCCAATATTACAAAACGAGCGGGAATCTGAGGATAGACAGCTGCAGTTACCAGTTGATCTGAAAAAAGACTGGCATGATTACTTGGCTATGGAGTTTGATCAGAAGCGAGTTGGACTGGGCGAACAAGGCAAGCGCGCTGAACTAAGTGATGAATCGCAGAAGGAATTAGAACAGAAAATGTCTCTGGAAAATGGATTTAATGCTCTACTTTCCGATTCGATTTCGGTAAATCGTTCCCTTCCCGATATTCGCTATAAAGGGTGAGTTTGATTTGCTCATTAAAACTAGTTTATTGTGAATTTTATTAATGCTTGATAACGCAAAATTTTTATTTTGTCTTGTACACAGATGCAAAAAAAAGAAATATTTGCCGAAGTTGCCTTCAGTCAGCATCATAATTCCATTCTACAATGAGCATTTGGGCGTGCTTATGCGTTCCGTTCACAGTCTGATAAATCGTTCGCCTCCGGAATTGATAAAGGAAATAATTTTGGTAGATGATTTTAGTGATCGCGAGTACTTATTCCAACAACTCGAGCAATATGT